TCCCCCATTCGTCCCGCCAGGCGGCTACGATGGACAACAGTTTCACACCAATTACGAAGGAATTTTGGTCAGCACAAATTATTTTAAATATTTAAATACTTTAATTATTTTTTAACTGTCCAGTGGGTACAGCGTGCAGACAGGCAGGCAGACAGTGTGGAGGAAGGAGTAAGGAGTTGGGCGTACAAAAGCCAAGTGCCACGATCCAGGGGCATGCACATACATAGCTCCATGGCAACCTGCGACAACGACAACGGGCAAACAGCCAAGCGTAAACTTAACTGACAAGTGGAGACTTAACTTCCCATAACAAATTGCATTCCAATTGCATGACGTCCCCCCTTCCAAGCCACCAAATCCCGCGAGGCATGAGCAAACATCCAGTCACATCCAGTCACATCCAGCCACATTCAGTCACTCTTCAGGCCCATTCCATCTGCAGGACGATGTCGCCATTGCTGTTAATTTAAATTGCTTTAAAAAAGCATATGCAAAACTCAGATGCAGATGCAAATGGAGAGTCCAGAATGCAGCATCCAGAATGAACGCCACATGAAATGAGGAATATAGTAGAAACAGAAGCGGTAGGCCATGCCATCGTATCCCCCATTCAGCAGGGAAAATGGTAACAGGAGCAATTCAGAGCTGGCAGTTGGCAGCTCCTGCCGAGCAGCCAGCCTCTTGAGTTGCCTGCACGAGTTTACACACACGGAGAGAAACGCACAAATGGAAGGATGACTCTGGATAACCTTGATGATTCATCGAACCTATTATATCATTAATCTACAGATTAAAGTCAGCCACTGCAAGGCACAAATACACCCGATTAAATATATTTTTAATTTGTTAAAGCCAAGGGTTTGTTTTCAGTGCACACTTGCCATGCTCGAAGTAATCCTAAAGGGTGTGAAAAAGTATGAATGCAGCCAAGAAGGTGCTCACGAATGGCACAGGATCTGAGTCAGAGGCAGCGTGGGGGGCACGCGTGTCCCTGCTCTGAAAGGAAAACAAAATTATGCAACTTGAGAACCCAGAAAACAGACAGAAAGACAGGCAGGCAGGCTGGCTGGCAGGGCACCCCACAAGCACACTGGGAGCAATGGGGGAGTTTGTATAGCTGCTGCTCCTTGGCTGCTTCTCAGTTGCCATCTCAGTTGCAGTTTTCTGTTGCTGTTGCATAAAATATGGCTGCTGCTGCTGCTGCTCCTGGTTCTCATGAGAGCGTCTCAACTTCTGCAGCAGCGCAGCTCCTCCTCCTCCACACAACCTCTGGGGTGGCGGAGGACCTATTTCAGTTGCTGTTTCTGCATTTGCATTCAATTAAATCAGGACTTGAAGTAATTGCCAAGTAAATACAAGTGCCAGGTCAGGACGGGATTATAAAACAAGTTTGCAAGTCGCAAGTGTGGAGTCGGGGCGGGAGTCACAGGAAAAGCATTTTTCTTATTGATAAAAATTGTTAAGCTGACAACTTTGGCTCGACAAAAATCGTGTGGGTTGTCACAAAAAAAGAGGAGAAAAACCCTTTAGTCCTGGTGCCAGTCCCTCGGCTGCCTCCAGTCAAAAGTTTATTAAAATTCAGGACAAGAAGCAGCCGAGCCGCAACAAGAAAGTTCCTTTCCCAGAAATTGTATTACAAACAAGAAGAAAGAGGATACATTTTTGGGGCCGAGGCTTCAGATACCCTCACCCTAAGATTTGGATCATGTTACCATCGATGGTGCCTGCTACTGGTTCATATATGAATATATGAGTTTTTGATCCAGCTTAATCTCTTCCAAATTATCAGGCAGATATCTGCATTGCTTTCCTTTGCAAACACCGCGTGAAGTTCATTATATCCTGCCCTTTGTCAGGGTACACATAAATATGGCAAAAGATAAACTTAGGAGAATAGGGAGCGGGAAGCAGGGGGCATGCTCTGCCACATGTGTCGCCTTTGGGGGCAAATCGATGGCAGATTGAATTGAAGCAGCAGCTGAGCCTGAGGCTGTCCTCGTACTCGTCGTCCCGTACCCGTCCCGCCAGTCCCAATCCCATCTGTCGCACTGCGGTTCAATTCAATGATTTGTGGCTGTGGCTCCGACTGAGTCTTAATTTATCAGCTCCCGCTCCCTCCCTCCCACTCCCCCAAGACAATTCCCGTCTAATGCAGAGGGCAGATGCGGTGGCGTGAAACTTTTTAAAATTCTTTAGAGTTAAGTTCAACTTTTGTCCAAAATAATTTGTATGCGGCTGCCAGCAGCTTACAAGAGAAAGTTCTCCATTGCAGGGTTGTGCGGGGGGGAGTGGGGGAATAGTGGACGAAAGTCTTCCGTCTGCAGCTCAAAGGGGCTGTGAGTGGGAGTGGGATAACAATGTACATACATATATGCTGAGGCTACTTATTAAGGTTCCTTTCCCTCTCGCCGCTTGCACTCCCTTTCTGCCAAGGTGTATTTTTTATAGGGTGGAAACTGTACTAAGAGTCTCATAGCCAGAGATCATACATAATCTGTTCAGGGCTCATCCATGTCGTTACAGAACTCTCGAAGGTAAGGCAGTGATTGCCGAATGTGCTCGCTCCCCTTGCAGAGAAGAGAAGGCTGTACCTCACCTAATTACACCTTTGCTTGCTGGCTGAACGAACACACGAGTTGCATTGTCCTCTTTGTCCGGGACTTGCACATGGTTGCTCTTTCCATGGACGTGCTGGATGAGAGCGGAGAGAGTTTTGAGGATGTCTCTGGGTTCCGGTGCCTGCCTGTTGGAATGTGTTGACATAGCGCTAAATTTTACAGTTACTTTTTGTTTGCCTTTCTGCTAGACCTGCTCCTGCTCCCGCTCTCTCTCTCTCTCGCTCTTTCTCTTTCTGTAGTTTAAGTTTTACATTTTCTGGGAATATTTATTCAAGGCCAAAGGGGCAAAGGGGCAAATCCCCCGTTTAATGCTGTGGCCAAACTTTGTGTGGGGGCGTGTAAGCAAGGATTTTGTGGCTAATCAAACATTATGAATAAAGCAGTAATGGCTTAAGTGGTGAACCTCATTTACCTGTGACTTCCGTGACTCTCTCTCTCCGGGGAGGACTAGTGTAAATTAGTCAATTTTTAAAGGTATTTTAAGTATTTTTAGAGGAATTTCCAAAGTTATTGTGAAATTTTCTTCTACCTTAATTCCCAGCGGAGTTCTCTTGTCACAGTTTGCAGTTTTTACAGGCTCCGCCCCCTTGGCTCCTACTATGTCCCAAATTACCCAATTGAACTTAAATGCCCCGTGGAAAAGAAAAGTTTATTTCCCCCACTGCCTACTACTGCCTACCTCCTCCTCCCACTCGTACCACTCCTTGCTCATTGTCTCAGCCCACTAAACTTGCTCATTTACCGCTAATTTTGTCACTGCTGCAATCTCGTTTTGGCATAACGAAGGAGCGCAAAGCGGCAAGCGGGGAGAGCGTGAGCAGCAGCTAATGCCGCTTAACCGTTATGGCTATAAAAGGAAGCTTCGAAAGCTTTTGGCACAAGCTTAATGCAAAGCGACTCAATAAACGACGAGAGACGATAAAGACCAAAACATCACCTGAACACATTTCGCACTCGCGCGCTCTCACTCTCTCTCTCTCGCTCGTTCGCTCTAAGTAACCCTTGCCCGAGGAGCAGAAGCAGTAGCAATGGGCCGCAAATCCCCCCCAATAGACTCTGAATCGGATCTGAGGAGTTTTCCCCAAAGGGGGCTGCTGCCAACTCCATTGAAGCGTAAGAGTTTCTCGCCCAGACTCCATTCCAAATCAACTGCATTCCTAAGCCCTGTCAGGCATTTTATGGCCAACACGAAAGCTAAACTTTTACCGAGGGACTCGTAACCAACCCGGTTCAGGATTCACTCTCGTACACTGGCATTTTCCCCTTCCTCCTGTTCCTATACTGCTCTCCTTTTTGCTTTCTCCCCCTCTTCCTCTCTCTCCCTCTCCCTCTCTCACTCTCTCTGTCTTGCTTTAGCTTGGCTCGTAAAATTTTATGCGTTTTTTGCGCCCTGCGTTTGGCGTTGGCGTTGAAAATGAAAATTGTTACTCCACAATGAGCCGGGGTTTCCAGCTCCCGGCTGCGGACTCCCGGCTCCCGGCTCCCGGCTCCAACTCAATGGCATTCGAGTCGAGTCAAGTCGAGTGTTGTGTGTCGCCTGCCAGACCCTGCCTGGGCCTCTGTCCTGGCCGGGGGTGGAGTGGCAATGGCAGCTCCGTTAGAGATGGCAGCCCCATGCCACTGCCAGTTCGCAGCACGAAGTTGCGGCACTTTGGCCTGGCGAAACGTGTTGCGTGTCAGCGAATATCGGAGTCACGCGGCCATCCCTAGTTCTTCTCTACATTGTTGTTTTGTTTGTTTGGTTTTTATGACTTTGGGGTATTTATTTCACTTGAGGCTAGACGACGGGGGGGATGGACGCGCATGAGGGGTAGCTCACGAGCCGAGCTGCTCCAGCCTGATGTTTCATTTCTGTCGTTTCGCTAGCTTTCCTTCACAACTTCCCCATCGCCCCATCGCCCCATCGCCTGTCTGTGCGTTAATGAGTCAACACAAAAGGCTCAGCTGTTTGTTTAATGCATGTTCCACCCCTTTTTTCAGACGCGACACGACACGACACGGACACCCCCTCTACGCATCAGGTTGGTTTTCGGTTTTAGGTTTTGTGTTTTACGTTTCAATTTCGGTTGAAAAATTGTAAAGCCCACATAACTTTCGAAGGCTCAGTGTGTGACAGCGAACTTGTCGATCAAACTAGAACCATTTAAATCTTGGAAATAAAGCTCTACATATTCTAAATATACCATAAGTACTCGCACCTATAAACCTGTCTAATCTGTCTTAGCCTGGCAGCATTTTGTATTTAGTTTTTAGAGTCCCACTGTTTTCATTTTGTTTGAGAGTGTGTGGAATTGATTAGAACCATATTTCATGCTTTAGTTTCAGCAATGAGCCGCAAGAGAATTAGTTTAAAGTAGCTCAGTAGTGCTAAATAGTATCACAAATATAAATAGACCCCCTGGAGATGAAGATTGCATTCATTCTGTTGGCTTTATCCATGCCATATACGCATACGCACGCCTTTGAATTGAATTTGGGCCTGTTGAAACCCCCTGGGGAGATTCCCTTCAAAGGTGAGTCTCTCTTGAGCCAATTATTCCACACGAAACAAATTAATATTGAGTACTTAGCCTGCCTCACTGATGGCGGCATGCGATCGGGCTACTGCATAGATCTGTCGCTTAAGGAATTCACCGTTCCCGACACAAATGAGACAATTGCCAATATCCAGTGCCGCGTGTTCGCCAAATATCGCAATTGCAAGCCACCGGCCAAGTGCTGCACCGATGGCTGGGACTACACCTACGTGGTGAAAACAGACCATTAAATGGGGTGGGGATAATCCCATTAAATTCGTATTAAATTTACACGCTTTCAGTGTCACTTTCTGCTTGAATTAATTGAGTGAGCTGCGGGATTGGAATCCAGTCTTACTTTTGGGGTGGCTTATGCATAACTGGGTGGGTGTTCCATGCACTGGCTACTGCCTACCCCTTTTGAGAGACGACGGCTCATATTCAGCTTGGCCCAAAAACACAATTCAAACTTTCCCTCTCGCTAATTGTGCGAATATTTTGCAGAACGAGGCTTCAACGGCCTGTGTTGGGAGCTGCCATTAAAACCAGAGCAGACCTATAAAACTCCTGCACCGCATCCGGACACACATACCCGTACATACCATATGATTGCCGGAGAAATTTGCTGAGCTGAGTAATAAACGAGTCTGCGATGTGCTTCAATTATGTGCCAGGATGCCATACTGCCAGGCTGCCAGGCTGCCAGGCTGCTTTCCCATGCTCGTGTTTCGCAAACTTTGGCCCGTGATGAATGCGAAAATATGTTTTCGGCGACTCCATAATGAGGCAACTTCGCTGAGGGGATGCCACAGCCGTGCGGGGTGCACCATCAATCTGCGGGTTGTGTGTTTGTAGCCGCCTGGAGGGACCGGGGACCGGGACCGGGGCCCATGAAAACAAAAGTCAAATTTTCTGTGAAATTTATTTTGTGCCTTGTCAGGGCCTGGCCATTGGCGCGTATGCGTAATGTCAGGTGCAATTTATGCGCCGCCAGGTAAACGGCATAGCCATGTGGTATAGGTCAGTGGGGTCCCTGCCACCCCCCTGCTGTTTGCCTATGCGGCGTATGAGTAATGCACATTTTACGCTTGAATTGCCAAAGCATAGGCCAGTGCTTCGCTTCGCTGCATAAAATATTAATAAATTGAAAGCCATGTGAAATGGCATTTTTATGTTTGTTCTCCTGCCCGGCAGCAGCAGCAGCAGCAGCTTAGTTTAGGCCCTTCTTTTGTTGCAGTACAGAGCATCAGGCACAGCTGTCGGGGGTTCCATTACGTAATGCATATTGCAAATATTGCGCATACGCCATGTGTTGCTGGGTGGCCTGTGTCTGTAGTTTATTTCCATTCTAGCCAGATGCTAACAAATGCATTTGCATTGGATGTTTTTGGGGTCTATTTTATTTTCGATAGAATTAGTGTTTCATATTTGCGATAGATAGCAGTGGGATCGGATCATATTTACATACGTACTCGCATGTCTCCCATAGAGTATTCCCTCTTCTCCTGCTTCGTTCTGCTGCTGGCCAACTCTTTTTGGGCTCTGCGTTGTGCCTGCCGCACTTCCTGCTGGCCAACTGTTCAATCAACCTTTCCCTGGGAAGGCATTTGCTATTCATGACAGGCAGATATTTGTACGTGCCAGGAAAAGCTAAGCAGCCCATCCACATCCACATTCACGTTCCCATTCACTAGCCCTGCCAAAAGGAAAATGCCAACTCATTCTGGGCATTTTTCTATGTTGCTGTTGCTGCTGATTCAAATGCAAATATTGCTTTTGCGTTTTTGGGCCTAGATCTGGGTCTGGTGCCTGGTGCCTGGGCCTGGCCAAAGTTTTCGCACGAGGAAACTTTTTGGCAACGTAGCCGCACTGTTGAGATTGGTCGTGATGCTGCTGGGCCAACTTTAAGCTCCAATAAGCCAAGGCAACTTTACGGTTTATTGCCATGTTTGTTTGTCAATCGTTTTTTGGGGGAGACGGCACTCAATCCGGGCATTCAATAGGCGCTCATTTTTCAAACCAAGTGAAGTGTGAATGAGCCAAGGAAGACCCCACCCACCCCGCCCCCCACTCGCAGGCCCCAAGGACCCTTAACAAATTTGCCCAGTCCAAATGAAATGCCTATGAAAGGTGGCGGGGCCCGTCAGAGTGGATTTCTTTTTAAATAATTCAGAGGAGGCTTTCCTTTTTATTTCGGTTAAATTTATTTATTCGTGTTTATTTAAATGTTTTGTAAACATGCATCAAAGCTTAAAATACTAGTTATAAATGTGTGTGTGTGTGTGTGTGCTTATTCCTTATGCATATCCTCTATATAATCGTACCTAGAGATATATATATGTATATGTGAGTTTAAAAATGGATACACTTTCCAATGCTAAAAATTAAAATTTGGCTTTGTTTTCCTTTGCATTTCGCATTCGAAAATCACGAAAGTGCGCTCAGATAATTCAGTTTTACCTTAAGTATATATTTCTTTAGAATAAAATGCTGATGGTGATGTGTGGGGCGATGCTTTAAAATACTCACTAATCCTAGAAATGCTTCAACTGGTCTAAATGCAAATATTTTTTGGGCAACTTCTATATACATTTTGCCACGCAAATGCAATACTTTTATCATCATACATAAGTACTCGGAATATCGAACAATATATATATGTATGTATATATGTATATGTAATGTGTGTGTTATATTGGGTGTAATTGTATGTGTTTGTACAGTTAGAACGTATCCATATATAACTATATAGTACGCATGTTAAACAGGCGCTTAGAACTTAATGTTAAGCCTGGCAAAGAAAATACTTGGGGGAAATGCTTTGGGGAAATACTTTCTGGGGGATGGGAAAAACGTGGAAATAAATCTAGAAATTACTTTTTGGCATTTGCTCAATCAGTCTGGGCCTGCTCCTCCGTCCCCTCCTCCTCACTTCTCGGCTCCACTCTGCATGGCCTTGCTCAGGGCGGACCCCAGTTGACTGAAGGACGGACGCTCCTTGGGATTGGTCAGCCAGCAGGATAGCTGCAAGGGCACAGCGGATGAATTAATTAGCTTGCCGGCAGACTGGAGATTAATGGCATGTCAAACACTCACCAATATCTCTTTGAGGCTGTCGGGCGTGGCCTCTGGCACCGTCCACTCCAAGGTGCCGGCCTGCGAGCGCTGGATGACCTGCTCGCTGGTTAGCTCCTCCTGGGGCAGCTTGGTGGCCTGATTGAAGAGCTCCCACACCACCACGCCGTAGGCAAAGATGTCGCTCTTGGTGGTGTACTCATCCTCCTGGATGCACTCGGGCGCCAGCCAGCGCACCGGCAGCAGCGTGTTCCGGTGCTTGTGGTACTCCCGGCTGTACTTGTCCTTGCACAGCGCCGGATAGGAGACCTTCACTATAAACTCGCTCGAGATGACACAGTTGCGAGTGGCCAGATCCCTGTGGGTGGAGAAAGAGAACGGCACCGCTCAGAGGATGCCTGCACCCAGCCCACTCTATACCGGACTTGGACTTACCTGTGCGTGCAGCGGGCACGGTAGATGGCATCCATGCCGCGTGCAATCTGATAGGCCACGGCCAGCACCTGGCTGGTGGTCAGTGGCGGCGGCGAGGAGGTGGCCGTGGCTGTGTTCACCTTGCCGGCGGTGGCCAGCAGGAACTGCTTGAGATCGCCCCAGTCGGTGTACTCCAGGACCATGTAGTGCGGATCCTTCTCCCGGCAGAGGCCAAACAGGCGGACGACTCCCTTGTGGGAGATGCTGCGCAGCAGATCCAGCTGGCGACGGAACTCCTGGCAGGCCTGCTCGTCCTTCACCTTGTTCAGCGCCTTGACCAGGACCAGTTGATCGAGCGCCGACTGCTCTGGCTCCTCCTCCTTGATCTCCTCGATGTCGTCCATGGAGGTCTTGGAGCGTCGCTTCTCGTTGAGAGTGCTGAGGGTGGTGCTGCCACTGCCACTGCCGCTGCCGCTGCCGCTTCCCCCACTGCCTCCACTCCCATTCTCGCTGTTGCTGTGCTGCTTCTCCGTGTCCCCATCCTTGTCCGATGTCGCGCTGGCCGCCACCAGGGACGCCTTCAGCTTGCCCACGAACACGTCTCCGAACTCCCCGCGTCCGATCTGCAGCAGCTCGCTGAGGCCGGAGCGTGGCAGGACGAGCTGTTCGTAGACGGACTTCTTGGAGCTCCTCGACTGCTGGCTGCAGGCCGTGTCATCCGACTTTTGGGCGTCTCCGTTGGACTTGGATTTGCCCTGACCCTGGCCATTGCGCTGCCTGGACAGGCACGGCTCCTGCTCGGATCCCTTGCCATTTGTGACGGCGGCATCCGGCTGGTCGCCGCCAGCCTCCTTGATGCTCAGCTCGTTGAGGCGGGCCTTGCGCGCCTGCCGACGGTAGCGACACCACAGCATCAGACCCACCACCAGGACAATGTATGCCAGGGCCACAGTCATCGTGATGAGGACAGCCCGCGTGACCAGGAAGCCATCGCCGCCCGTTTCCTCGGGGGCGAAGCCATCGCCGCTGCTCCGCACCACCAGCTGCACATCCTCCCGCTTCAGACCCGCACTGTTGCCGATTGTGCAGCCATAGCTGCCCTCGTCCTCCACCTGAACGTTGCGTATCTCCAGGGTGCCGTTCTCCAGGAAGCTGAACCTCTCACGATCCGTGTTGTTCTCGCTGAGATACTTCAGGTCCTTGTCCCATTGAATCGTCGGCCTGGGATCGCCAATCGCCTGGCAGTGCATCGCCACAGTGGCCTGCTCGGTGGTCTCAATGGGTCCCACGGGTGGCACACTGAACTTGGGTGTGACCACCACATTGATGGCAACGGTGGCATTGATCCGGCCCTGACTGCTGCTGGCCAGGCACGTGTAGTTGCCCCGATGCTCGGCCCTCACGTTCCGAAAGATGAGCGTCCCATTGATGTCCACCTCCGCCTGGTCGGGCAGCGAGCTGTTCACGGCGCCCGAATCCTGCCCGAATCGAAATCGAAATGGAAATGGAAATGGAAAGGGAGCGAGGTGCGACGATTAGTAAACAATTTCCACAGTCCTCCTCGTTCGGAGCATTTTTTCATCAAATTCCAAAAAACAAAATGAAATTTCAGGGTGGGTAGGGAAGGGAAGGGAAGGGGAGGCAACGCAACGCAACGTTTGTTTAGACCAAATGAAAAAAAGTTCTTTTGAAAGGGGTCCTGTGCCGGGTGCCTCTCTTTCTTCGCTCTACCCAAAAATAGACAAACAGTTGCCGAAATTGGTTGGCCATTGGCGACAGCTGGCCTGCCAGCAGGCAAAATGCACTCGGCGGAGCAGGAGGATGGTGTTTAGGCCGTGGATAGAGTTTTGCATATGAAATGTTTGGGCTTGGGTTTGGTTTACGCGGAGGGAAATGTTTGCCCAGTGGCGCGTTGCGCGTTGCGCGCTGAGCGTTTTTCGATTTGTCAGACACACGGACTGAGGGAGAGAGGATACGGATGCACACTCGTCCTGTTTGAGTGCTCTCAAAATGAAGTCCCTGCCACTACTCACCCTCTGCCATTGCACCTGCGGCGGCGGTGTGCCCTGGGCCTTGCAGTGCACCTTGGCCACGGCTGCGTCTAGCTCCAGATTCTTCGAGGTGGGCTGCGGCATGAACTTCAGCTGCTCAATGACCTCCAGAGTGCCGGGGGAGGAGTTGAGTGGCGCATGGCCCTCGAGCTGCAGCTGGCACTGGTACTGGCCCGCATCGCTGGCAATGATGCTGCCAAAGCTCAGGGTGCCATTCTGCTTGTGCAGCACCAGGCGCGCGTCCTCGCGCAGCAGCGCATCCTTGCCGGAGTCGTGCGGGTGTCCTGGTATGGGAATGGCTCCGCCCAGCTCCACGTGCCGCAGCAGCTTGCCGTCCTTTCGCCAGCGGAGCTGAATGCGCTGGTTCTGCAGCTCGGCGGGCAGCTCGTAGAGACAGCTGAGCGCGGCTGGGTCGCCCTCCTTGATGAGCAACTGGCCAGCGGGACCCTGGACAATGCGTAGATCCTCGGGAGCTGGGGCGAGCGACTGCTCCAGGCCACCAGATCCGCCCCGCTTGCCGCGGCACAGGAAGGTCTGCTTGGCCCAGGACTCGGGCAGCTTCTGGTTCTTCTTCAGCAGCCGGGGCAGACACTTGATGTTCGCCTGGTAGACATAGCCCTGCTTGCTCATGACTCGCCCGGCCGCATTCGAGGCGGTGCAGCGATAGAGGCCATCGTCGGAGGCAGTCGGCTGACGCACCAGCAGGCGATGCTGCTCCAAATGGACGTTGCCCCAGCTGCTCAGCCTGGCGCTGTTGCGATACCATTCGATCTGCAGTGACTCGTCCCCGGAGGCGCCCTCCACGTGGCACTTGAGCAGCAGCTCGTTCCGATTGCTGCCCAGCAGCTGCACGCTGGCCGACTCCAGATCTGCAAGAAACAGAAACAACAAAAAATCAATTAAGGAATTTATGCGAACAACTGCGAATCAGGTTTCCCCTAGGGCCTAGGCCTTGAGGGCCCTACTCTGGCGGTGGCATTCCATAAATATGCACAGCATATCCGGAAGATACATAAATACATTCCGCTTAATGCGTTTTCTTGGCTGCGCAAATTTCAGTTTTCCGTTCTCAGTTCTCAGTTCTCAGTTTCTGTTCAGATTTTTCCCTTTTTATATTTTTCTTGCTGCATTAAGTGCATTTTATCGTCAGTTCTGGGCGGAACATGACGCGCTCTGCGCGGCTCCTCCAATCTTTGTGGGTCGCTGCCGCCGCTTGAAGGTGGCAGAGGAGGCGAAGCATAAATTGAACTGTCAGTCAGTCAGTCAGTCAGCCGGTGGTAGAGGGGTAGCGGCAGTGGCAAGGGGCTGGGGTCGTGTCTACTCTTGCACCTTTATGCATGTAAATGCCCATACGAGTATGTGGGCCTGCCCTGCTCCTCTGCTTCAGCCATCCACTCAGACAGAGCAGACGGAGCAGCGGAATGGAGCGGTGAAACGGTACTTGCAACAATTGCTGCATGAGAAAAGAGTTTGTGGCAAGAGCCACCAGAAAAGAAAAGCTGGAAAAAAAAGAAGAATATGCTAGGGTTTAATTTATGTTTTAGTGGCAGCTCAAGGCGCAAGGGGGCGTGGTCGGTTATGTGGCAGACATGCCAGCACAATCACCGTAGCCTTTGTGCCCCGTGGCTCTGCCGTATCTCTGGCTCGCCATCGCATATCTCTGGACCTCTACCTGAACCTGGACCTACCAACCCCGAGATGGAGCCGCAGCTCTCTTCATTGTGGCAATGTGAATGAGCGAGATACTTTTGCATCTCTGGCTGATAATTGTCAATCGCCGCGAGATGTGTTTCGCCTTAAAGTTCTCATTTCTGCTCTTGGATAATTTATTCAAATGATAAATATATAATTTTTTTTTGGTTCTTTTCTGCCGCTGCCATCATTTTCATAAGGCAGTTTTTTATCTACTTATGGGGGCAGGATGGGCAGGGAGGAGGTGGCCATGCCAAGCCATGCCTTCTCCACTGTGTGATGTATGTTTTATGGATATTTCTTTCTTTTGGCCTATCTGAATGTTTGCCAGGTCTGTGGACTGTGCACTGCGGACTGCGGACTGCGGTTAGAAAACACCAATTTACATATGCACATAAATCTTGTTTTGTGGGGGGGGGGGGTCTCTTGTTTCTGACTCTGGCTCTGTTTGCCTTGCGACAGGCGGGGACACACACACAAAAAAGAATCCCTCTAAATATTTGTAGATACTTATTTTGGAGGGAAAGAAAAACAACCTCAGCACAGGCGAAGGCAGAAGCAACGGCAACGGCAACGGCAGGAATCAACAAAATACGAAGCGACAGACAGCAACAACTCAATAAACAGAGCCTGTGTCTTCGTCTCCGTGTATCCGGGTATCCGGGTCCCGGTACGGGTCCATCTCCGTCTCCGAAGTGTCAAAAGTTTGAAATGTACATACGTATTACGTATCTGTATGTGTATGTGTATCTGTGTTTGTGTTTGTATTTGTATTTGCTCTGCATGCGATGGGGTAGGGGGGTAGGGGGGAGCAGCATGGGCACTCGGGACGGGATACATTCCATTGAGTCGGCCTGTGGCATAAACTTTTGGTATATGTTACGACCAGAATGACAGTGGAGTCAACTAATTGGCACTTAGACAGCCGAACCCAGAGCACAGCCAACGAAAGTATCTAATGGATGGATGAATGGGATGTACAGCCAAGTGGCAGGTGAAGTGTGTGTGTGTGTGTGTGTGTGAGTGTTAGTGTGTCTCACAGATAAATACAAAAGTATCTAATGGCTACGTAAGTTGAAAATCTGTGAAATTCGAACAGATACGAGGCTGTTAAGGCTCAATTAGCTCAAGGCAGGTTCCGGATCAGAGCTCTTTTTGTGGGGAGTAGCTACTGCTACCTGCCACTTCCAGAGGAATACCTTAGATATTTAGTGTTTTTTTTTTTAGAGAATAAAAATACAAAATGATCTGCTAGATATTGTAAGAGAAGAACAATCCCAAAACCATATTTGATGGGGCTTCCGTGGGTTCCATGGGATGGAATGGAATGGCATGGCTTGGCCTGGGCTGCAGTTCGTAGACCCTGGGCTAACTGTAACTCAAATTAGAATGCCCGTTGCACGCCGCTCGCTAATTAACGAGCGTCGTCTCATTAGACCCGATGTACTATGCAGCGTCACTGACTCCGGGGAGAGCGTGTGCATTCAGTTTGGGTGGGTGGGGGCAACTGCCAGATCTTTTGACACCTACACCCATCACAAAATCATGGACAGAGGGTGGAAGCGGCCATCATTCACACGTTGAACGTGCAACTCGAGGTAAACATGGGAAAAGAACAAAACACACAGAAAAGAAATGAAATGAAGAGAAAAAAAAAAAAACGAAGTAAAGCAACGCCTTCGGGTGGTGGCTTCAAAACAAAATAAATTTGTTAAACTTTTTTCCGCTGGCTGAGGCATAAACCACAAAAGGCTGTAAACAAATGCCAGGCCGGCCAGGCACAGGCAGGCCAGGGCTCTGGAATGTACGGAGATGGGGCAGAGGGACAGAGACCCATAAAAAAAAGAGACGCGAAGTAAACGCGCGCCCGAGTAAACAGAGTGGAAGTAAATGTCGAATGGCATGGGGCATGGGGCATGGGGCACGGGCAGGCAGCGGAATTATAGATATAGAAATTGGCCGGGAGTGGGTTTTCGGGTACCACCAGATCGACTCGCCTGTTATCGCCTGTTATGCCGCCGCCTCCCCAAAGACGCACATAAGTGTGCCGACTGGGTCTTATTCCATCAGCATGTAAGCAAAGTTGCTCCAGCAGCGATAAGATAGGCGAGCCCCGAGCTCTCTATTCCTTGCCAGATGGGCTCGTTTCGCCCTGCATTGGCTGCACTTTTTTTTTTATCTCTAACTTTTTTATGAAAATATAATTAATTGATAATCAAAAATAGATTATTTTGCCTGTGGCTGCAGCTCGAGTGGAAATGTTTTCAGCGTCAGTCATAAACCAAGTGGCTTGGCAGTGCAGAGAGCGGGGGTGGGGAGTGGGAGCCCATAGAAGTGTACGATGGATAGGATGGACTGTGAAGTGGCCGGCAGTAATTGTGGATCGTTAATGGACTTATGCACCACCACAGAAGAGTCTTTGGCCCAGCCAACGGACAGCGGACAGCGGGCAGCACTCCACTCGACTGCACTTCAATTGATTTTCGAACAAAGCGGCTTACAAGTTATTGACCCATTTAACAAATTGGCGCAGCAGTTCAAACTTCGAAAATTGATGCAGATAAAAGTCATTTAACAAATCAACTATATTTGGCATTCGTTTGTGCAATTATTAGCCAAAGAAAACATTCAATTAGATGAATAGAGAATATCAATGAATTTTATACATGTTCACCCGATACCATTTCCATTTCATGGGCTTTGCTTTGCTTTGCTTTGCCTCTTGGCTTGGGTTTTCCCCGTTTTCTGTGCAAATTTATGACAACGACTGACCGTAGCATCGTCTGTAGTGCCATCCATGAGGCGTACGGCTATGAAAGCTTTGCGGGGGCTTTCCTCTCTGCGTTATCATCAGATCTTTAATTAAAGTTGGCCAGTCGCTGGCACAGCTCTCCGCCCCGCGTATGGCCACCCCCAAACAGTTTTCAAATTAAAACGTTAAACATTCGATTATCGCACATTGTCGTTCCCTTGGTGCTATATACGAGGGGTATCCGTATCCCTGCAGAGGCATGGCCCAAGGGGATTCAATGGATGCATGAAAGAACAGACCAAGGCAAGGGGGTTCCATCAGTATTCATTTAAGACAGATCAGCTTGGAAAACGTAGCTAAAAGTCGAGTTAAAGATACATCCTTGCATGTCCCACCGATCCACACACGAAACTCTGTGGAATGAACCTCTCTTGCTATTGGCATTGGCATACAAAGTTAGCATGGTTAGTAGCTCCCCCGCTGTCCCCTGAATTATCTAGACTACGCTACTGTTTCGGGCTTACTCTCTAATGCCTTTCCTGGCCTTTCCTTTTGGGCCCCATCGAATGGCCAAAAGTTGCTAATGATCAACTCGTGTAACAACAGAGGAAAAGCCAAAAGTAAAATAAATGCTCCCAAAAAAAAAAGCAAAAACAAAAGTATAAAACAGAAATTTAGACAGAGACAGAGATAGAGATAGAGAGCGTCAGAGGGAGACAGCGCAGGAGAGCGCGCCAAAAAGTTGACTACAATTTCTGCTTCTATAGCAGCCCTATATCCAGTGTCGTCTGCCTGGCCATGGCCATCATCAGCCTCGTCGTCGTCCTCCCCTTTAATGTTCACTCCGAGCTCGGGCTCGGGCTCGTAAAATTTTATGCGTTTTTCCGGCATTCACAAAATGAAAATTATCCGGTTCTGCCCCGGCCCGGCACCCCTATCTCGGCACAAACCCCACCAGCCGCCGCCCCCCACTCAACGGCAAACTGCAGTCAACTTGAACTTGGGTCTGGCGCACAGATACTCTGTGGCACCGCAGGAGGAGCAGCAGCTATATCCAGACGTAGCGACTCTGTCTCTGTGTGTTGGGGGGTGTTGTTCTGCTGATTTGAGGGTTGCTTTTGTCCTGTTCCACCCACCGAACAACACACCGACCCCCCCCCCTTATGGTGTCTGTGTGTGTCTTTGCATTTTGTTTGGTTTTTATGACTTTGCTGTTGGCTGTTGGCTGTTGGTTGCCATTGTTGCTGCTGTTAGTCCATGCTGCTGCTGCTGCCATTTCTCATTTTATGTTTATGTTTCGTGTTAATGTTGCATTTCATTTCCATGTACATTTCAGCATTTCTCCGCTCAGCTGTTCAATGCCCAGCCCGTGCTCTATCCTGGCTGTATCCTGGCTGTATCCTGGCCCTCTATCCCCACTCTATATCCCCGTTGCTGCAGAGTCCAACAACCCCTTTTGGCTGTGCAAATGTTTGGAATGTCTCCCCCACCCGGCCCGCTGTCAGCCACGGCTGGCAGTTGTCTGGCTGGGGTCTGGCTCCTGGCTCCTGGCTACTGGCTACTGGCTACTGGCTCTTGGTCTGGCTACTGTTTCTGACTTGATTCTGGCTCTTAGTTGTTTTTCAGCTTCGCTGATGCTGTCTGCTTAATTCCTTTCAGTCCTCAGTTAGTTCTGTGGCTCTGTCAGGCATTTGTCTTTGGACTTTGTACTTAACTTTGGCAGTTATATTTCATTTACATTTCAACTTACATATAATTTCCAGTTTATTTAAAATCTTTGCATTACTTTGGGTAGAATTTGCTCTAGATTTGTATCTATTTAACAATATATCTAGTGGATATTTATATAAATTGTAGAGCATCAGCTATTCGTTAGATTTTAGTGTGGAATCCCAATCAAAGTTCTTCTTTGTTTGCTGTTTGTGTTCGAATCTGTTAAATGTTGCAAGCGAAAATGTCATCACTTTTCTTGCGCTTAATTGAACATTTATTTCCAGCGAATAGATGGCAGCAAAGGATGTGAAAGACAGCCAGACAAAAGGAGCCAGGGCATAGAGGAACGATTTCGAACCGTAACCCCACCTACCCTGATAGGATGAGCAGAAGCAGAAGCAGGACCATCACCATCATCAATGCATATTTTAATAGTTTTTGTCTGCTGCTCGAAAATTATGAGATTGATAGAGGGACAGAAGAAGATGGTACTGGGCGGAGAGGAGAGGAGAGAATATAATCACATAACCCACTTAGTCTCAGCTGGCGCCAGCCACCAGCAAGACATCCCCTGCTGCCCACACTCCCCCAAGATAAGCAGCCCCAGTCAGCCCAGCCCAGCCCAGCCCAGCCCAGCCCAGCCCACCCAATGGCATTTCCCGCTGCCTTTCAACAGCAGATGCAGCCAACAGCCAACAGCCAACAGACAGCAGCATCGCAGCCAGCCAGCAATTAAAATCAACTCCCAAAACTACAAATTAATTAGTTAATTAATTAGCTAAAAACACTTGAGATGGGGACTATAAATAGATGCGCTGGTATGAGCAGATGAATGGATGGCAGATCCACATCCACATCCACTTGCCTCCATTGCCTTCTTCTGCTGCTGCATCTGCATCTGCTGGGTGGTTGGTGGCTTTGATCACAACTCGAATGCCGTGCCAGTGCTGACAGCAGAACTCTACCAGCTACCAGCAACCATCCGCCATATCTATACGATCTATACGATCTCACATCTCTCGGTGCCAGGGGGCACACATGCAGTCCAGATTGTGCATAAAAACTTTCGTTTTGTTTACACGGATGGTACGGCCAAGGGAAGCAGCGAAGCTATAGCTATAGCTATAGATACTCGTACTCGTACTCCTCGGCTCGCCTCGCCTCGCATAGGGTCGGGTCGGGGAGTTGTTTGTTAAATTTATGCATTTTTCTGCTTAAAGGCAAATGCAACTAAATGAACATCAATCACGTGAGGCCGCCGCCAGTGCTGCTGCCTGCTGCCTACTGCCTACTGTCTGTTCCTCCTGCTACTGCTGGTTCCACTGGGCTCTTCTCTGGCTGCGCTGCATGCTCCACTGCCTCGGACTGCATTCTGCTCACTGCAGTGCACTTCCTGTGGCCAAGAGGGCCGCCAGCCGCCAGCCCCCTGACGCATGTACATCAAAACTTTCGCTGTTCGCTGTTCGGTTTTTATCTTTCATCAGTTGCACGAGAACGGGTTGCTTCGCTTGCTTCAGTTTTAATGCCTCTTTACCTTTGTCCGTCTTGTGGTTAGCTCTGATCCAAAGAGTGGATGGGATGGGCATGGCATGGCATGGGATGGGAATGGAATGGAACTGGCTTGGGCTGCCAGTGGAGTAGTGGACGGAATGCCATTAAAGGCCCAGCATTAATCAAATTAATTTGCTTTATAGTTTCTTTGATAAGATGTGTTCCGTGCCCCCAAAGGAAGTGGATTGCTATTAGGATGGCAATGTACTACTCACATATCACGCTCAATTTGGCCGGAGGCGATGCCTCCCTGGCGCCGCTGGCCAAACTGGTGGCAATGCACACATAATCGCCAACATCCTCCTCCCGCTGCACGGCCTCGATATGCAAATGGGAACCAATGCGATAGACACGCTTGTCATACACAATCTCTCGACCTGAAACGGGCATACGAATCGAATTAGTACAGATTGAAGTGGATTGGATTGCAATGCACGTGCATATATTACAGTGGTTAGCTGCTCTTACCATTGTGCAGCCATTCGTAGTGCAAATAGCTGGAGGGATCCGTGGCCTCGCAGCCAAAATCAGCGGCCTCGCTCTCCACAATGGACTGGCTCTGGGGCACGCGCAGGAACCGCGATGTGCTGGCCCCGGCAGGAGCTGCAATGCGATTAAAATAAGCAATCAGAATTGGTTAAAAGTTAAGCCACTCTACATACTGGTACGCCAACATTAATGATGGCAGCTAAAGAGTTACCCTCAAATTAACAAACACCAAAAAAAAGGCTGCACCAAGCCTAATTGCATTTAATTAAAGTGTTTTAAGCAAATTAAATGCGCTTAAGCTGCTTAAATTACAGTGTTTAGGTAAAATGTAATTTTGTTGAGGCAAAAAAAAAAACCCTGAAAAGGGAAAAAGAAATTTCATTTCGCACGAAACCTGCGAGGGATTGAATACTCTTACTGATGCTACCTACACAATTCATTCAATTGCTTTAGCTGAATATGTGGACTAGTTGAATCCAGAAAGATGAGCTTAGATGATGACTAAACCCTTTTAAGCTAACAAAGGCTGAGCTTAGAAGCTAATTCTGTATTTTTATGAGAAGTAAAGGCAGTTAAAGGTCTCTCTTTTTCCTAAACCCTTTACAGCAAGCCTTATAATCCATCATATGTACGTCTGTTTCGAGCCAGAATACCCTTTTTTAGCAGGGCATATTCCACACGCCATGCATCGTTGCGTGTCCCCAATAAAAATTACAATTTAAATGCGAATTGGTTGGGGAGAGGGGAAAAAATAAAATAACCAAAAACGTTTTCAGATCAGAGCCTGTGGGCCAACATAATGAAAAGCCTGCCGAGAGACGCCTTGCAGCACAAAAACTATACAAATGAATGTACAAGGGGAAAATACATATGTACATACATATGTTTTTATTCATTTTATTATGTAAATAAAAACATATATGTATGTGTATTTATTATTTTATTATGTTTTTATATGCATTATTTCTTTGTCTGTTGGTGAATGCAATTTGGTTCGGTTATTTACTCGTACATTAAATCAACATCCGCAAATGCAATTTATGGGAATTATCCTGCGGTGCTAGGGGGCCCAGAAAATACGTTTTTATGTTAATGGGATTACTTAATGAGCCAGAAATTAAATGCCAATACCAAAGTATATGTATAAAGTTCGGGGGGGTTAAACGGGGGAAGGCGCCACCACATCACCTGCAGCAGGAGAGGAGAGCAGGAGGAGCTATGCAGCATTATTGTGCAGTGCATCCCGCGCTGCTAAATGCCATGCAATTCAAAAGCAATTACGAGTATTCGTGATTACGGGCTGGTGCATGGGAGAGCACAGCGGAGAGAACTACAAAACGGCAACCATTATATTTGGCCACTAATTGGAGCAATTTGAGACAACACCTCAGATTGTGGGGGCCACAAAGCAAGACCCAAACGGGGACCCAGACCCAGACCGAGAACCACGACCACGACAAGGAATCAATAAGCAGGCACAGAACCACAGAAACAGCAACAGAAACAGCAACAGAAACAGCAACAACATCATTAAAGGCAGTCGAGTCGTCGGTCGGAGTTTCTGTTGGGGCACGGCACAGTGGTATTATTATGTATTCAGATGCCAGTCACATAGCCGGGCGACGTGTTATGATACAAGCGGGCGAGTGCCCCACCGTAAAGGCAGTTGGACAGGCAGACAGGCAGCTTGGATGGGGAGCCTCGTCCTGGTCCCTGGCCCTGGCCCTGTCCCTCTCTGTGCGTGCGACTCGCATCGATTTAATTTGCTGTGCAGAAAACAAGTTGGCAAGTTCCCTCTGCTGCTGCCCCCCATCTCGGGGCAGTTACTGGGCGTCGATTAAAGAAATATGCGCCCCGTTTGGCTCCGGCGTTGATTGCGCTGACGTGGGCCCGATGCGTGACGGGGAGTGGCGAGGAAAGGGAGTTTGAAGCAGCAAAAAGTGTTGATGCTGCAAACGGAGACCAAGAGGCTACACTGAGAGGAAAAACTCGAGCTAGAAGTAGGAGATAAGTCTGAAAATACGAGTACTCAAAGCAGGAGCGAGAGGGATCAAAGAATTCCACTGAAATTTTCCACTTTCTTTCTCTATGGTATAGGATTTTAACTGCCAGCAGACTAAGGCTCTTAATCAGGCTAAGGCAGTGCCCTAAATAGGCAGGAGATCCCTGGGTCCGCAAATGCCTCTCATTCGTTTTGAGTTTATTTTTTCTCGCAGTGCACAGGACAGGCAAGAGCAGCGGGCAGTCCATCGCACCAGCGACTGTCCATCTTGATCTGTCCATATAGTAGCTGCCTTTCTCCCCGGTCTGCTCCGTCTCCTCGCTCCCCCCTCTGTGTGTGATAATTAGTTCGTTTGTTTGGCTCAAATAACCGAAATCAGCAAGTCAGCAGCCCACTGGCAGACCCACTGCTGAGGCTGCTCCTGCTCGTCAGCATCAGCATCTTCTGCTTCTGCTTCTGCCTCAGATTCAGATTCAGATTCGTATTCAGATTCAGTTTGAGTTTGTGTTTAAGATACAACATTCAACTGCCACAAATTGTGCGGCAACATTTGTCGATTAAGCACAATGAATGCGAAATATTGTTGTAATAATCTGGACTCCCACTGTGGCATCCACTTGAACTTGCCCCAGCATCAGACAACGCACCACTCCCCACTCCCACTGCCCACCCGATGGGTGGCGTTTTGATTTGATTTCACTGGGGGAAACGATAAAGATACAGATACAAAATACAAAATACAAAATACAGAATACAAAATTCAGAATACAAATAGATGGGGAAACGAAACTGAACTGTCACTCTGGAATCTGTGGCATTCGTCTGGGAAAACCTTTCGCCAGGGGAGAAACTGCAAGTCAACATGGGAATGGAGTGAACACGGGGCAAATGGAAATGGAAATGGAAATGGAAATGGAAATGACTGCCACTGACAATTACCCGTCAAAAGTTTGATCTGGAGCTGTGTCATTTGGGGGGAAAGGAGGGCCGGAGGATGTTCGTTTTGATAAGTTCTCTCTCCCCTCTCTCCCGCTAAACATTCTCGGCTTAGCCTGGCCTTACCTCCATCAACTCCATGGCAGTCTGAATCTGAATGGGAGTCTAATTTTCTTGCAATTATGAGAGCGCTCTCGAGTGAACTTTCAACTTGAAGGCTTTAAGTTGGCTCAGGATGCAGACAGGCAGCCAGTGGGAGTGGGAGTGGCAGTGGCAAAGTGGTGTGGCAGGAAAGCTAGCTGAGTTGTAGTTGCCACAGCTGCCATGCCCTGCCCTGGCCTGCCCTATGGCTTGGCTGGGCATGTTGCATGCAGCATTTTGCATGCTTGAATAACAAATTATGACTGCCACACAAAAGGAACTCACACACACAGGCGAGAGCCGCACACAGACGGAGAGACAGGACAGCCAAGCCATATTATTTGCCATACAAATAATGGACCTCCATGGCGTTCGTTGCACAGATTTTGAAATATGCTAGTACATACGTACCTACATATATGTACATATGTATGTATGTATGTATATATGGCCGGTATGGCCGCCTCTCTCTTTGCCTCTCACTCTCTTTCCCTGTCTGTCGTCTCTACAAGGGGGGAGGACGCCTTTTGTTTGCGGCTGTTTGCCTTTGTGCTACTTAACCGTCAGCCGTCAGCAGTTGCTGGCTCTATCCTGCCACACACACACACACACGCGAACAGGAGTCGCCTCCAAGGAAGGACCTCAGCTGGCATTCATAAGTGTGTGCCCCTTGAGATGTCCTTCCACAGACACAACGATCCCTCTGCTCGCTCACATGATCCTTGCCATAAACTATATTTGATTAGCTGGAAATTTTGGGCACTGCCGCCTGTCCCACTTCAAGCGGCCAATACCCAGATCAGATCCTTGTGCGACTGCCTGCCTGTCATGTCCTTTGCTTTGAATGAACTGCTTACCGCCGGCTGCGCTCTTCTGTTTGCCCAAGAACTTCATTTTGCGTCTCATATTCATTGCAGCGGCTACCTTCCATCTCCCGCTGCCTTGGACATGAAACATGCTACTGCTCCTGCTCCTGCTCCTGCTCCTGTCCGGCTTCTAATTGAGTCATTTTGCACGCTGTTGCTGCTATTCAGAATTCAATTGCAGATACAAAGGCTCGCCAGGGACGCCATAGTTACCCGGGGCACACAGGCAGCCCAGGCAGCCCAGCCACCCAGAATGATGAGACAGATGCGGATGTGTGCCGTCGGGTAACAGCTAGCAAGACTCAATGGAAATGGATCCTTTGAAGTTCTCCGAATGTCTATTAATGCAATTTACCAATGCCCACATCAAAACAACTTTGATAAGCACACAGAGAACACACAGAGAACACAGAGAGAACCCTTGATTAAATATCTCATGGAGTCTCATCCCCCAATCCCATTCAGTGGACACTTACCCATCAAAGTGCTCGCCAGGATGCATATCCAGATCATCATCATCACATCCATATCCATAGTTTGTCTCTCTCTCTCTCTTTCCCTCTTGCTGGCCAATTAGCACACACTCACGAACACACGCACACACTCGACTCACGCGCGGAGGACACTCACGAATCGGATTGAAGGGTATTATATGCTGACAATCCAATCCAATCGGTTGATATAGTCAAGCGACTATCCATCCATCGGCTCAAAGCCGTAGGTGGTGAGGGGGAGCGGGGATAGCGGGAGTGTTTTGCTGCCAAGTAAGTGCCGGGCACTCGAAAATCCACTCAACGCATCTGTAAATATTCAATATTTGGTTGCCAGACGACAGCGACGGGTCCAATTGCTGACTGGCCCTTTCGACGGGTGCCCCGGAATGGAATCAGAGGAGCCTGTGTATATGTCGGGCTGGATTGGGTTGGCTTTTTTTTATATTTACTGTGGACACTCAAATTAAATTGCTATTTACATAGCTGGAACGCATGAAATGCATTTATCAACGAACACGAACGGTGAGACGACTCAAAAGAGATACGGATACGGCACTTGCTGTCTGCCGTCTGCTGCCTGCTGCCTGCTGTCTGTGGTTGTCTGTAGCTGGCGTGGCTGTTGTTGGTTTATGTTTCGTTTCGTGGTTACTATTTTTTTTTTTCTTTTTATCAGTGCCTAGATTGACAAGCGACAAGCGACCGGGGCAGAGCTGCACTTCACTAACAGTTTACGGATAGACCGATACGCCGACAAAGACGGTATCTAGATACACAAAATGCACTGCAAGACGACCGAGAGTAGTAGATACTGGAACTGGAACTGGGACCGAGACGGAGGCCGAGACGGTGGAGTTCAATTACCCAGAGAATGATGCGAACCGATATACCAATTCCAAGACCAATAACGAACCGAACCGAACCGATCCGAACAGAGCGCAACAAATCAACTTAATTTGTATCCCAAAGATACTGCCAGAGGAGGAGTAGAGCTGTATTGTGTTGCTGCATCTGCTGCATCCTTGGCAATTGGGCTCGAAACACGAAATGAACCGGCTTTTGGTGGGTGATTTTGCCTGCTTCCCCGCCTGCCCGAGGTTTTTGGGGGGAGTTTTGCGAGATATCTGTACGAAAGGCGAACACGGAACAGCCAAACGAACCGCTTGCGCCGACAGTCGGTTTCGAAATGAGGGCTGGCTGGCCTTGCCTGGCCTGGCCTGGCCTGGCCCTGCCTGGCTGCCGGCATGATACTCCATTCTGTTCCCTGTTTTGTACGTGCATGCACGAGTTTTTTAATGCTGTTCTGTGCAGTACTCAATACTCTTTCCGATATGGGATATAGAAAGTCATTCTGTAATATTATCTGCAAATATTAGAGCAGAAAGAACAGACGATCGAATGCAAAAACACGGATAGGTCGAGTTTTGTTCCAAGAATAACTTTATTGTTTATACAGATAATTCAAGCAGAGTTTTCAAAATGCAACATTACATATAAATTCATAAATCAGCTGAAAAATAATCCAAATACTATACTATACCATATAGTCACATGAAATATAAAATAATAACCGCATTTATGGGTAAATTCGATTCCAGGGACCTAACTCTGTTAATACTATTTTATATTATAAATTTTAGAGAGAGTAAAAACACGAGAGAGACAATACGAAGTAGAAGTAAGCCGAGGGAGAGCAAAGAGAGAATACTGGGTGCAGTCTGCGAGTCTGCGTGAGAGCCAGTATTTATGGCCTGTATATGGACAGTGTTGCCGTGCAGCAGACGCTGCGCGCCAAAACAGTTTGAATTTGAAAATGATTTTCTGGAATTTTATATTTAGTAATAATTACTTGAGTGAGAGTTAGTGATAGTTGGAGCAGAAAAACACTTAAATTAATTGGGATCATCCCACAGGTTAGGCGAATTAAATGAAGGGGAATGGAGAAAGTTTCTGCTTCTCTGCCTGCACAGAATTTAAAGTTCTGTAATGCATAGTACGAGTGCAAATGCACATTCTTACTCTTTAAATGAATTCTGAAGACATAACTAAGGATTTTATTGCTGAAAATATAAGACAAACGACATCTTTCCTGTTTCTTCAACGTATTTAAAGTCAATCCAATGCAATGCATTCATTCATTTGCTCATCATTTATTTGGTCTAAATGCTATCCAAAGCTTTGATTCAAAGGAGGGTTACATTTTGCCCAAATGAAGCTATCAGCTGGCAGTAATCAGCCAAGAGTCGCTAGGCAATCATCGCTGGCTTTTCCTCTTCCTTCTTTATTTCCACCTCCCCCTGCTGTGGTTTCCCCCCCCTCATTTTAAATCCAAACAATAATGCGTCTTAATGACCCAACCAGAAGCAGCAAAAGCGGGGGGGTTGCGGGCTAGATAGTGTCCGTGGGAGCGGAGGGTGGGTGTGTGTAGGGGAATGGTAATATCCATTGGTGGCTTGCTGTTTTTACGAGCAGACGCACGCGCTTGGGCAAACTGCAAGAGGCTTCCGTCCCGAGACACCCAGGAGCTACTGCTGGGTATCTCTGTGTCTCTGCGTCTCTGCCTCTGTCTGTGCGTTTTCCATTTTATAGTTTTCCGCTTGTTTTTTTACGAGGCCTTTCAACCCCACTCCTCGCACCGAAAATGGAAAACAAAAACCCAAAACCCACACAAAAACAATTGCAGCAGATCCTTTTGGACGAGCGGCGGCGGCGGCGGCGCTGACTGACATCCAACACAGTCGTAAAATGCCGTTGCCATTTGTATAAAATAAACTATGTATATACTATATCCCTTCCCCGTCAGAGAGGGGTGGTGCCCCTGCCCTACCTCTTGCCCACCCCTGATTAACAGCCCTTTGTGATTATGTGTGTGTGTGCGGTTATCAAATGAAAGCAGAAAGAGAGAGAGCGCGGCTATCCAAAGTTGGGCACTGCGCTTTTCCATTTTCCACTTCCCGGACTTCCCGCACGACAGTTATTGATGTCATAAAGTTGAAGATTTATGCCCTGCTCTGCCAGAATGTTGGGCTTATGTTTTATTATTTTGCCTTTCGGATTTCTCCCCTAAACCAGGCCCAAGGGATGGAGAGGATCAGTAGTCACAGTATTAGTCGACTCAAAGCGGGCCAAATGGTGTGTTAATAATTTGATATTAAAGTGCATAGATATTCGAATTGATTGGCAATGGAGGGAAGGCATCGACAACTTCCCAAGATTCTTCCAAATATATAAACTGCTTTCGTAGAACTCTCTAAGGATTCCCCAACACCCCATCCTCAAGTAGTACTTGTTCCTCAGATCTATCCCAACTTATTTATTGCCAAACCATTAGCCTCAGATCTTTTCATCTTTCTGAAGTTGTGGTGGGCTCCCTTTTTAGAGTCCCATCTCTGGATGTTTAAGTTATTGTGCATTTTCTACTGGTTACCTGTACTCAGCGCCTCGCCTCGCCTCGCCCTGCATATGGAATCCTCTCCGCTGGCAAACATCAAACATTTTGGGAGGCATTTAAATAAATTTTAGTAACGTAACGCGGCCTTTGCGTAGACTAAACAAAATAAACATTTAAACAGCATCCATCCATCCATCCATCGCTCTCCCGTATACAACTTTTGAAGGTGTTTCTCGCGGGGGCCCGAGTGCGGGATCCACTATAAACAAATGAGGCGAAAAAGTACCAAAAAAAAAAAACGACGAGAAGAAGGAACACATCACATGGGCGGAAGGGCCCCGCAGCCAACAAGTTTTTAATGCATGTCGATGTCGTCGGTCGTCGCCGCCGCAGATCAAAGGCGAATCGCATCAGAGACGGAGGAGGAATGGGGGGTGGCGGCATTGGATAGGATAGCACTGGAACGGAATGGGCTGTATAGGGGTAGGGTAGGGGGGGGGTAGGGGTAGGGTAGGGGGTTGGTGGTCGTTTAATTGCACTTGCCGCTTACTTTTTTTTTATTATTATTTGTATCAGCCCCCATGCCTCATGCCCCATGCCCCATGCCCCATGCAGCAGGTCTGGGTCTGGCCTGCGCATGTGTAGTTGCCTTTGATGTGCGGTGGGCGCATAATGTTTATGCGAGCGCTATAAAAAACCATAAAATATGCACAAAACGCATAGCTTTTTCCTCGGCAAGGCATAGGGAAGGAGGGAAAAACCGAAAGGCAAACTACGATTGAAGCCAAACAGAAATGGAAATGTAAATGAAGCGATTAAGTGCAGACGCTGGCAATTGGAATGGAATTGTCGCTGGTAATGTAGGGGCATTCTGAATGCTGATGGAAAGGGCAGATGACAACCGATGACATAAAGGGGAATCACAGCTCCAATGGCAATGAATATTCAGCATCGCAGTTGGAATTGGCTGTCTCTGGAGTAGGTACAAAAAATATGAATATTTTCAAGGGATATCTCATATTTTCCGATCTTTCTTTTGGATTTTATTTCTGTCATGTACAAACCCCCAACGATTTTATTTTCATTTAAGGAAAGACTCCCCTTTCCACTCGCAAGAAACTTTACGACTTTCTATTGGGTGGTGGGGGAGGGGTTTGGGGCTGACGCCTCGTCGCTGCTTGACGGCTGCTTTCGCTATAAAAAGCGCATAAAAAACTGTTGAGCATTCTGTGAGGTTTACGGCCGTGCCAAGTGGGCAACGCAACCCAATTTATGATGGTAAAAAGAGGAGAATTTTACGAGGCAAACTCCACCCCAATCCGAATCACCCACTCCCCCCACTCGCGCAACAAAAACGGAGATATTGAAACGATTGCCCTATAAAATGGGGGCTCTATGAGAGCTATAAAATATTTATTCTACTAAAAAATAACTGTACATGGATATATATACACAGAGACATACACGCATAAATATATATATATACTATATAAATATAAATACAAATAGGATTTATAGGGGATTTTCTTCAATTTTTCAGTTTTTGTTTTTTTTTTGTTTTTTTTTTTTGATTTTGGTTTTTTTTACACTCAACAATAAAATGGAGTAACATTTGACGGGGGAAGGGGGGTTTGGTGGGTATGGTGGTTATGGGGACGAGATCATTGAAAGAAGGAGCAAAGGGAGGCGTGGCGCTCAGACAATGTCATCGACCACCTGCGACTCCTGTTCGAGGATGGTGCTCTCCCGCAGCTTGTTGCTCTTCGGATTCTTGCTGGAGTTGTTGGCCTCCGTCAGACAGGGCTCATGCTCGTGTCCGTCGCAGGTGGGCGCATGGGTGGCATCCTCCAGCTGCACCTTGCCCAGGTGGCGGCGGTAGCGGTACCAGACCTTCAGGCCCAGCACCAGCACAAAGTAGAGGAAGGCCAGGCAAATGATCACAATGATGATGCGGGTGACAATTGAATTGGACGTCGATTTGGCCGACTTGACCACCAGCAGGACCTCTGCGCGCTTCAGGCCGGCACTGCTGCCGATGGTGCAGCCATAGCGTCCCTCATCCTCGGCCTTGACATTCCGTATCTCCAGGGTGCCATTCTCCAGCAGAGTGAAGCGATCTCCGTCCGTGTTGTTGTCATTGAGATAGGCCAGGTCCTTGTCCCACTGAATCGTCGGCTTGGGCTCCCCAATCGCCTGGCAGTGCATCGCCACAGTGCCCTGCTCCGTGGTCTCGATGGGTCCCTCCGGCGGCACACTGAACTTGGGTGCCACCACCACACCAATGGACACTGTGGCACTGAGCTGGCCCTGGCTGTTCGAGGCAAAGCAGGTGTACTGTCCGCGCTGGTCATTGCTGACCTGGCTGAAGGTCAGCGTGCCATTCAGATCGGTCACGTTCGCGGGTAGCGGCAATTGGGTTTCCTGTAACGATGGGTTTCCCATAAGTAATCTGTGGGCCGAATGGGCCGAAAGACACCCGGACGTCCCGGTCTTACCCTCATCCATTTGACTTGCGGCGGCGGCGTTCCCTGAGCCTTGCAGTGCACCTTGCTCAGCGAGCCGAGCTCCAGATTCTTCGAGGTGGGCTGCGGCACGAACTTCAGCTGCTCGATGACCTCCAGGATGCCGCTGCTGGAGCTGGCCGCCATCTCACCCTCGACCAGCAACTGGCACTGGTACTTGCCCGCGTCGCTGGCCAGAACGCTGGCAAACTGCAGAGCTCCGCTCTCCTTGTTCAGCGTGAGTCTCGCATCCTCACGCAGCATGCTCTCCAGCTGGGGCTCGCTGGTGGTGCTGCTTGCCTGGCCCAGCTCCGCCTGGCGCAGGGTCTTGTTGTCCTTGCGCCAGCGCAGGATGACGCTGCTGCTCTGGCGATACCCCACGGGCAGCTGATAATTGCAGGGCATCTGCAGGCCGCTCTGCTCCTTGACGGTCAGCGCGGCTGGGGGACCCTTTGTGATGCTCACATCGCCCAAAGACACCGGGGAGGCTGTGTGGGGAAGATGATGATGACGATGAGGATGAGGATGATGCTCGGATGAGTCAGCGCTGGCATTGTGTGTGAACTCACCGCAACAACAACAGAAGATCAGGTTCAGAGCCAGGCCGCAGCTCAACAATCGTCTTCCGTTCATCTCCATCTCCATTTCGCGAGGGTCTGAATTTCTTTGGGGCTTGGCTTAGTTGTTGTTTTCTTCGTCTTTTTGTTCTCTCGCACAAAACCGGTGTGCGTGCTCTTCGCCCGATTTTTAAAAGTAATTCCGAATTTTGGGTTTAGTTAACCTTCGTTTCGTCTTTCCTTTCCGTTCAACTCAGACACAGAAACAGAAACAGATACACTTCACTTTATTTCACTTCACACTGGACACGAGTGCTGGCTGGCTGGCATTTGGTTTATGGTTATTTTTATGTTACGCACACGCGTCACGCTTAATTATCCTGCCGCAGACGCAGAGAGCCCCGGGATCTCGTTCGCGTTTCGCTGCTCTGTTTCGTTCGGGAGCAGACGACCGACCGACCTCTTGGTTCGACTTTGAAAATGAAAATGACGCGGCATCGGGCTAATTTTCAGCTGGAAGCGGATGGCGACAGGCATCGGAAGGTTTGCGCATGCGCACTCAGACTGCACCCAGTGTTTCCCACTATTCTCTGGGCGGCGAATGCAACCCTGCTTGTTGGTACTGGTACTACACTTTCTACTCCCAAATGCAAAGAGCAGCAAATCGGAGCAGAGCGATACAATTTATTTCCCCAAGTTAAATCAACATTTAAAGATATAATCACTTTAAGACTCTTGTTAACAATTTATGTATAAGTATAAGTAACTATTCGAATATTCTACTTAACGTTATGTGTATATATCATTGCAATCTCATTAATTAATCGAGCTACTTTCGTTGAGAATCTCCTGTTTATTGTCCAGAAGGGGGCGGCAGAGGGATACAGTCTAAAATTGAGGTATATTGGAGACGCGGCTATAGGGCGTCTGTCGTTTGGCCACACGGAAGGGACAGCGGGTCATCATTTTGTAGACAATCGATCCACAGACCACAAACAGGCCCCAGAAGACGTAAGTGAAGAGCAGAATAAAACGATTCGGCTGCCACAGAACCGTGTAGCTGAGATTGTAGTTCTCTAAAAGGGAATATAATTATTAGCTCCAGCTTAGAACAACAGACCTGTCCGGCTGTGTACTCACCCAGCACAGCATAGCCCATGCCAATCTTGGACTTTCCCATGCGATACGAGGAGGTGGGCACCATAATCTCCAAATAGCTGTGCTCCTGCTCCTTCAGCGCCTTCAGGTCAAAATGCCGCACTGCATTCTCATAGAAGTTGATCACCTTTGTGGAGGGGTAAATGAATATCCTGGACTCGTGCCAATGGCCCGAGAATATGATATGTGGATCCAAGTCGCTGATGACGGCCCGCAGCAGCGGTCCTCCGCCAATGAGCAGTGGTGCGTGCGAGACCCCAATGCGGAGCCGATCGGCATTGTTGTCCCTGTCGGGATTTGTAAAGTCCAAAAGCATGCGATTGATCTTAAAGAAGCGGATACGATGGTCATAGTCGAAGAGGTCCTCGCTCATGAACTCGTTCTCGAAGCGTCGCTGGTTCGAATTGGATATGTAGTCGCCATTCTCGCCGCCAATGTCATTATCCCCCGGCACATGTACCCTCTGAAAATAGGCAGAGATCATTCGGAACTTTAAGGTATTGCCAGCGGAACACACTCGGAGGGCATTTTGTTCATACTTTACGGAATTTCTTGCTCTGATAGATGCGTCGAAAACGCTTTACATATTGCTTATACTCCTGCGCCGTGGCAATGTTGCCCTCGTCCAGCAAATCGCCCAGGAAGACGATGATGTGCGGCTGGGTAAAGGACACGGCGCGCTCAAATGTCTTTTGCAGATATCTATCCGAGTCGTAGCGAGCCAGCGGGCTGTGGGACGAGCGATCGTAGGAGGTGCCCAAGATCTGGGGGTCAGAGATGAGCAGCAGCCGTGTGCAATTATCTATGGTAGAAGTTGTGTGTGCGTGTAAATTATGGGAGACCTCCATCAGGAACTGAGCCAAGAAGCTTACCCAGTTTGCAATCGATTTGGTGCCAGCTGGATTGGGCCATGTAGTAGATGAGAAACTCATTGAAGAATATCAAGAGCAGAGTCAGCACTACAAAGCCGCGGCACACTAGTCTGTGGGCGGGGGAAAGGAAATGAAATCATGGCTTTAATAAATAAAAGTAACTCTTCTCATATCATGCGATTCAATGCATACCTATTTACTAAGCGCAAAGAAGCCATAATCCAGCTGAGCTGTGCGCCATTCTACATCGATTCAATTAATACTTTTGGCTTCCTTCTTCTAAATGCGTGGCATTGCGTTTTGCGGCGTGGCGTCTATAATTAAACGTGTTGCGTATGCAATATTTACGTAAGTCTGTTCATAATTATGCGAATGTGGAGCTGGGGCTATCTGGGCGTTCCCTTTTCGACAGCGCCGCGAGCAGCAGTCAACTATTTTGCATCCGATGCCTCGGCATACATTCCACTGCGCTCACTAATTGGATTAGAAACACAGAATATGACAAAAGCTAGTTGGAAAAGCGTAAACTGCATCGCACCTCCACTGGTTGCTATGGCTGTGCGCGCCATTGATTCATTCGAATTTAAATGCACAGAGGAGCGTTACGTTACAGGGACCGGCACCAGCGTATATAAAACAGATAAACACTATTTATGATGTTCTCCTGCCTTGCATGGTCCATAGCCGCTAGTGATGATTCGCAGATCCCCCCTCATTGTTCCATGCGTATCTTTAACTGAAAACAGAGTCCTGATGGAATAATTGAAATTCAGATAAATATCATTAACGTGGGCGCTGCCTGGTCTTACCTTGAGGATTATGCCCTGCACCAGTTGTCCCTGGGCCTGTCGATTGCATAAGCCACAGATCCAGATCTATTAAAATTTGTATTCGCTTCTATCTTTCTATTCAATGGAATTTTTAAATGGAATTCCTAAAATTTTGTTCTCTGAAGTGTTTGTTTTTGTTTTGCAGTCCAGGGAGTGTTGCAAAGATGTTGCGAAAGTTTTGGATTTCCCAGGGCTCATCGGATTTTTCTTAAAACAGGAACTGGTGTGTAAAATAGGATAAGGCACATATAGTAGAGCTATTGCAAATAAATATTTACGTGATGGACGTTGCATTTTTATGCAATTTTAAAACAAAATTAGCGCAGAAATTTTTTTGTTGATTCCCGCCAGTACTAGTATCGAAGTATCGAGTATCGTTTCGTGTATGTTTGACCAAGAAGGGTCACACTGGAAATGGCGTGCCACTCCGCATAAATGCACTACAAAAGTTTTTCTTTTTTAACCCTCGGTATATTTTGAAAATAACATGATATATTTGGGTATATATCTATGGGTCAGGCGGTATATTTTATTGATAAATCTTGTGGGTATATCTGTCCTTCCTTTTGAAAAAAAAATATTCAATACTATCGTAATAGTATCGGGCTCAAATAATTATTAAAAAACCATTGAAACCTTTTAGGAACTTGTCCATTGTAAAAATTAGATGCCTCCTGACGATTTGCTTACAGATTTGTCTTCGTATTTTATAGCAGCCAATCCAAACATATCAAAAGCGCAACAACTGTAGCTCGATACTATCATGATAATCGCAAAACCGTCGATAGTAGCGGATAGCAGCAAAACATCGATACTATCGATAGTGCCCTCGATGGCGTGCCACTCCGCATAAATGCGCTGCAAAAGTTTTTCTTTTTTAACAACATACGCGCCGCAAATAGAAAAAAACGAGACGAGACGGCACGGTGGAACATGTGTAAATAAACGTCCATTCCAAAGTGCTTGTAGTTTGCAGTGATTTCGTTCATCGGTCCGAAGCGGCCCGAAAATTGGCAAGGAATTGTACCGCCTCCGCCTGCCTGCCGTTGTAAAGAAAAGTAAGATTGCACATCACAAATTTTCCTCTCGGCCATGTTGCCCATACGACGGTTGGCGCTGGGTGCATTGTGAAAACTCACAGTGAACATGCAATTTAAATGTTTTTGGTTTGTCGAAACGGGGAAAACACTGCCAAACGTGCGAGTGTGAGTGGAGTACGTGTACGTGAGAGCGTGTGCGTGTGTGCGGATGGCAATGCCACCCTCCCCTCCGATTTGGCACTGCTATTTCTACATTGAGTTGAGGGTCGCTAAAATTGTTGTTGGGAAATGTGGTCTTGATGTGGAAATTCTCCTACATAAGAGTACACGCTTCTTGTTTTTAGATCAGCGCCTGCCGCGTTCCGTCCCCTCCGGCTTCAGTAGGTGAGGATGACGGATATTGTTTATCCCAATGGCTGTCGGCCATTGGTGGAAGATCTGGGCACAGACGAGCTCATACGCCGCCTTAAGGTGAGTTTAACTAGAGTAGTTAAACCCTATTAACCACAAATGAAAATCACATTATTCTCGACGACAGACTCTCGCCAATGTCCTGCAGACCATGGACCAGGATGACAATCTCTACCAGCAGTATATACCCTTGGCGCTCCACCTGCTGGACGACTTCTTTATGCAGCATCCATCCCGCGATGTCCAACTGCTGATAGCGTGCTGCATAGCGGATGTATTGCGCGTATATGCCCCTGAGGCCCCCTACAAAGAGCAAGAGCAAATCAAAAGCATTTTCAAGTTTTTTATCAAACAACTGCACGGCCTAAAGGATCCCCGCGATCCGTCCTTCAAGCGTTACTTTTATCTCTTGGAGAACTTGGCCTTTGTCAAGTCTTTCAACATGTGCTTCGAGCTAGAGGACTGCCAGGAAATCTTCCAGGATCTGTTCAGTACCATTTTTAAGATTGTGAAGTGAGTCCACAATTTGGGTTTTAGCCAAGCAATTAATTTGACTAAAATTCCCTTGCAGTGATCAGCACAGTGCCAAGGTAACAAACTTTTTCCTGGACGTGCTGAGTCCCCTGATAACCGAGGCTGACAATTTGTCCGTGGAACTGCTGGACCTTATACTGATCAACATAGTGGAACCAAGTAAATCAAGCAACAGATGTGCAGGCCAGCTGACCGAGCAACTGCTCACCAAGACCGGTGACGCCTTAGAGTCCACAATCAAAATGGTATGAAAATGGCATTGATGTTTCATATGGTGTTCCAACTGAACGGCTCGCTTTCTCCCTGCCCTTTCCTAGTTCTTTAACCGTGCTTTAGTCATGGATAAGCCAAACAACAAACTGTCTATTACAAACAAGATCTATGATATCATCTATGAGCTTAATCGCATCAATCCCGATCTTCTGTACTCCGTGCTGCCCCAATTGGAGAACAAGCTACTGTCCACTGATGATGCAGAAAGGCTGAGTAAGTGATGCCATGATGCACCCTTAATATTGACCCTTAATAACACTATTTTTGACCCAACAGAAGCCACCACTTTGCTGTCGCGCATGTTCTCCGAGAAGGACTCGCAGCTGTCGCAGAAATATCCAAACCTGTTACGCACCTTCTTGGGCCGCTTCTGCGATATCTCGGAGGCAGTGCGTGTCAAGTGCGTGCAATCGTCCATGCATTTTCTTCTCAATCATCCACACCTGGAACCTGATATAACTGAAAAGCTGCGCCTGCGTAATCACGATTTGGACGAAAATGTGCGCCACGAAGTGGTCATGGCCATTGTGGCGACGGCCAAGCGGGAGTTCAACGTAGTGCTGGAGGCGCCCGATCTGCTCGAGATTGTGCGCGAGCGGACGCTGGACAAGAAGTACAAGATTCGACGGGACGCCATGAATGGCCTGGCCTACATCTACAAGCGGGCCATCTGCGAACCAAATGACTTGAGTGCTGAGCTCAAGCAGAGAGTTGACTGGGTGAAGAATAAGGTCCTGCACGGCTACTACAAGGTGGGTCTGGAGGATCGCCTGCTGGTGGAACGTTTGCTCATCACCTCGCTGGTGCCGTACAAACTGGCGCCCGAGGATCGTATGAAGAAGCTGTACCATCTGCTGGGCGATCTGGATGCGAATGCCACCAAGGCCTTCGTTGAACTGCAAAAGAATCAAATGAAGACACGCAACACGGTTAGCGATTGGATAAAACTGCATCACTCCAAGGAGTTTACTCCACGTGTGATCAGTCAGCTGGCTCTTAAACAGGCCACCATTGCCAAGTAAGTGAAGGAATTCAACAAATTATTAACTGATGACTAATTGGGCGTGTGTGTGTCGCTTTTAGATTGCTTCCTGATCCCTTGAAGGCTGCCGAATATCTTACACAATTCAGCAACCATCTACGCAAGGATGCCCAGCTGCTGCGCTGCATCAACATTGTCCTGAAGCGGGATGTCAGCTGTCGTGAGTGTGCCGACACCATGGGCACTCTCCTCAAAAAGCTGGGCGCCCACATCCAATCAAATCTGTACTACAATACGGTCAAGATGCTGATTGAGCGCGTGGCCTCCGTGATGGTGGATAAGGAGTCCATTGGTGTGCTGATAGGGTAAGCCAAAGTGAAGATTGCGCCTTTGATAGTACCCCTAATCATACCCTATTCTCTGGCAGCCTGATCGATCAATGCATTCAAGGTGGTTCTATATGCGAAGAGATTGGCATATCGCCCGAAGAGGCTGGCGAGCGCGGACTTAAGCTTCTAAGTGTAAGCTAACATATAAAGCCATACATCATTCACAGATGTAACCTCTTGATTCCTTTTCAGATGCTCTCCTATGTCTTCTCGGCGCACTTTTTCACCGATACCTCGTTGCGTCATTTGATCGCCTTGCTCAGCTATGAGCATGATTATGTGGCGCCACTGGTGCTGAAGACCCTGACGCATTTGGGACGCTATCAACCTCTGATTGACGCCACACCGGCGATTCTCAATGAATTGGCTCCAATCTGCCGAGACTTTGCCTTAATTGGAACACCCAAGCAGGCCAAGCATGCGGTACGCTGTATTTTCGTCAACAGTCAGTCGTCGGCGCCCACCGACGGAGCTGGGGGTGGAGGCAGTGCATCGACCACAACACAGACGGTGCATCCCATTTTCAACGAGATCATTGAGGCGTTGCGTCTGAAACTGACACCAAATTGTGAGCATCAGCGCACGAAAATAGTGGCCCTGGGCCACATTGCCTACAACATGCCTCAGGCATTCCTCACACCCATCAAGAACATGATTGCCCGCCGCATTGTCAAGGAGCTGCTCATTCAGGAGGTGCCAGTGCAGCGGGACTACGATCTGCCCGAGGATAATGATTGGTGTACCGAAGAAGATCTCCCACCAGACACGCTGTGCAAGCTGGATGCCCTCAAGGCCATGGCCCGTTGGCTGCTCGGCCTACGCACGGATGAGCACGCTGCCCAAAAGACATTCCGCATGTTGGCCGCCTTTGTCAATCAGCGTGGCGATCTCCTGGCCCAGAACCGTCTGTGTGGAGCTGAGAAGTCCTGGCTACGTCTGGGTGCTGCTTGTGCGATGCTCAAGGTTTGTGAACAGAAGGGCGTCGGCGATCAGTACAGTGCCGAGCAGTATTTGCAGCTCTCTCAACTTATGGTGAGTGTTCCTTCGTATGATCAAAGAACTATTGCTGTCAACTCTTTGTCGCTTAGACTGATCCGGTGCCACAGGTGCGGGAAATCTTTGCACGCAAGCTGCACAAAGGCCTGGGCAGGAGCCTGCCAAGGAATTGCCTACCCTTGGACTTTATGGGCTTGTACGTGCTTGCTGGCCTGGAAACTGACAGAAAGTGAGAGACCTTTGAATGCTAGTTTCTCCAGATTCCTTAATATTCAATTCCATTTTGCAACAGATTGCAAGACCTGGTGCGTCATTATGTGGACACGGATGTGAACAAACGTCGGGAATATCTCAAGACTGTTGCCATGACCTGTAAGTGTGTGTGTTCATATAAATGGTTTTAAATGTTTTAAATTTAAATGGTTTCTAATTGCATCCGATGCAACCATTTCCATTTAATAGCTCCCGACAGCTCAACGGAATCACAATCGCTGCACATTCTACCTGACTACATGCTGGCTTTTGCCATTCCCGTGCTGGTCCACGATCCTAGCTATACGAATCACGAGGACTATGTTCAACTGCGCAAAATGGAGAAATGTCTGCGTTTTATACTGGAACCGCTGATGGCCAAGCGTGAATCGTTTGTCTATGGTTTCTACAAGCAACTGCTCCAGCTGATAAAGCATCGCGAGTTCAGTCAAGGCTCAGACAAGCGCGATAACTATGTAAGCAAAAACTCCCAAAAAAGATTCTTGGGTTCCGTTCCTCTTTTATAGCCAAAATCAACGTTCATTTTCAAAAATTCCAGAAAATGTGGGCACTCTGCGATCTCGCCATGTACATAATCGACTCGAAGATGGGTCACATCAGTGAAAGCAACTCGAACACATTCTCCATGCCACTGGCGCTGCCAGAAATGTATTATAAGCAGCCTGCCGCTGCAAACTTCCAGAACAACGAGGTCTATATACCGCTGGACGTGTATACGTTGGGCGCCAAAGTGAATAAAGCCACCACGACAGCAATGGCAACGTCTCGAGCGGTTGCTGCACCGAAAAGGCCAGCGGAGCCGTCCCTCTCAGACGATGAGGATCCACAGGTGAGAGAAAGAAAGCTTGTGGATTACGAAATATTAACTGGAATGAAATTTTTCGTTTCCCAGGAGAACAATCTTTTTGATAACATCCGAGCAGCAGACACAACGGAGCCTACGGCCAAGCGAACGCGCGGAGGAGCCGGCGCAGCCAAATCGTAGAGAACGGAGAAAAGAACAAGCGCGTACTTGTTAGTTTAGTTACTGTTAGACTAGGCGCCTAAGTTAACTAAATATGTAAGACTAAACGTAACGTAGGATGGGAACTACGATAGTTGTTAAACCGACACTACCTACAAACACAACACCAACCAAGAACACACGCACTCAAACCAAACCCCAAAACATACTGAGAATGGACTCTCCCTCCCCTCACCACACCTCTCCTCTCCGCCCTCATATATGATTATGTTTCGAACCCGCTCCGCTGCTGTAAAATATTATCAAGTTGTGGACGAGACCAGACCAGACCAATGCAAAACCCAAAATTTTACAATTATGTGTCGTCTATTCTGTTAACGTTATCTATAACTGTTTATGCTATTTAATTATTTAACATTTTAAAACTGTTCCGTGTTTTGTATTGCAAATCATTTTGGTTTCATTTAACCTTTAGTCGTAGGCCCCCTATCGAATAAAAGACGAAGAGTGAAGATTGAAAATTAGAGTAGAGTGCGAAAGTAAAGTAATGAAAACGTAAAAAAGAGCCTTATTAAGAAATTAAAATTAACTTTTCTATGATCGCAGTTAAAATTTAGTTATAAACACATACAGTTTCATAACTTTATCAGGCGAGAATGCATTAAAAATGCATAAAACAATAAATAAGACGAATATGTTGTAAGGATATTGAAAGCATAACAAAGATACGAAACAAATCATTTAACTTAAAGAATGTAAATTTATCTATTAACTGTTTTTCAAAGAAATTAAACATACGAATTAAATATTATTTAAATAAGAAATTGCACAAATCATTTTTGGTATAGGGCCTGCCATTTGTTTTCCTCCCGATTGCATTTCAATTGGCCCGCCATCTGATGACACTTACCAACACTGCCACTGGCAATGCGTATTGGAAAAACGCCAAACACTTACGGTTCATTGCGTTTTTTGTGGACCCTTTTTGTTTAAGCCTCATTTTATACAAAATTCAATAAAAAGGAGTCCTCAAAGTTAGAATCTTGTAGAAAATTGATTAAGTTATCGAAGCAAATTGTAAGTTAAGTGCTAAGAGTCCTAGCTAGCTCGTAATATTCAACGGAACATCAAAATCGAGGAATATGATTTCCGATCATGAACAGAGACGCTTAACCCATTGTCGACCAGGCACAAAAAATACTGCGGACAAATTTTCCGCAGTGGGTTTTCTTCTTCTTCCTTTTTGACGAGTTTTTTTTATCTTCTTCTTCCTGTTTGTCGACTTTTTTTTGGCCCATATGTTATGTTTTCGAACTTATGTTATGTTAAGTTTTCGAACTTATGTTATGGCGTGCTATCGGCATATTTTGAAAAACACTCGACAAAACAAATCAAGTGAACTATTTTTTTCCATATATATACATTTGAAAATGACCGCCAAACTCCTGACATTTTTCGCTCTCAGGCAGTGGTGGTTTTTCAAAATTTTCTCTCTTTTTTGTGGTGAAGAGAGCGCTTTCGTGGTGACTTTTTGTGATGTGAGAAACATGTATCTTACGGGAACGACGTCACATTCGTTTTATCTTGATTTTGTTTTAACCTTAATATGTAAATAATCCAATAAAAAGGACTTCTGAAGACTTCCCAATCCTGAACAAAATTTATGTATCTATCGGATAAAATTATTTGTTTAGGTCTGAGACTCCCAGCTAGCTAGTAATATTAAACGGAATATCAAAATAGACGATTTTCATATCACAAAATATCATGGTATGGCAGCCCGCAGCAACTACGAATTGCACGAGCCTGGCAACGCCACAAAACGACGTCACATTCGTTTTATGTTGTTTTTGTGTGAACCTTAATATGTAAATAATATAATCCAATAAAAAGGACTTCTGAAAACTTGCCAATCTTGTAGAAAATTGATTAAGGGTGTGTTGTTTGGTTCTTGCTGTTATATTTTTTCTGTTGTGTTTGTAAATCAATTGCATGAAAAAGTATTGTGCAAGCAGCCCCCCGACACGTACCTATACATACATAGTGTCGAACCTGTCCCGGTAAACAAAAAGCAAAATGAAAACAAACGTCGCCGCTGCTGGCTGCGCCATCATTCGAAAAACCAACGCGCAACAGAGCACTCGAATATTCACATCCACCCCAAAAAATAGTCATCAGCGCACGGAAACATCGCCACTTTTCCATAACTGTGTAGGTGCAGCTAACAAGGGCGGCGGCGTGGGCGTGACACTGGCAACCTTCGACCCGCGGCTCAAGAAGGCGGCCCTACTTCTGGGCATACTCATCATTGGATACAAGACCGTCATTCTAAGCAGTAAGTGTGCCAAGTAGAAGGAGTAGCAGGAGGGGGAGGAGTGTTCTCAAGGCTGCAATTGTCAGTGACGTCGTTGCCTTAGCTTATTTGTTTGTGTTTGTCGTATAAATAGCCAGCAAATGTGTGTGTTGTGTGCCGTGATCTCATAGCCATTTTCATTCCGTTTGCTTTGGCCTCCGATACCCTCCCCCTTGCAATACTCCTCTAAGCATCTAAATAAAGACCGCAAATTGTGTGTTGCGCATTTTGCCTTTTGGCCGTGGATTCTCATTTGCATAAGTCAGTCAGCCAGCCAGTCGGAGTGATTAGTTTTCTTAATTGTTTGCCTTCTATGGCCTTTGTTGTTGGCTTACTTTGATGGGTGGTGACTCGTAACGGTGTTTTGAACTCAGGTCGTCACGCGACACACACACATGCATACAAACATATTCCTGGCCATCTCCCGTTACGTAGAAACCACAGCAAATATCGCCTCAGAATCCGCTAACAACTCTTTTTTTCTTCTCTGTGGAAACTTTAACTTGAATTGCCGTGTATGTTATTCTTAGACGCGTTTATCGTGCCGCTGATAACACCGAAATCAATAAACTAACACTTTGAACGTATTTCAGTGCCGTACATCAACGCAGACAGCGTTCAACAGTTGACCGGCTATGTGCAGGGTCAATGGAGCGAGGCCTTGGGATGGACTGAGAGGCACCAACTGGTCTCCAAGCTGAGCCCACTGTTGTGTGGCCTCATCGTGGCCACATTCGCCTACGGAATGGTCTACTTGGACAGCGCAGTGCCAGGCGTGACGCCGCCCTCTCCCTTCTCGCCCCGTTCAAAACAACGGTAAGCTCAATTTGGGATTCACGACCTTTTGAGGGGTAATTACATTGACATTGCTTGTCTTTACATTGAAGGTTCCGTCAGCAGAAGAGTGCGTCGCTGCACTTGGGCTATCTGTGCGCTCTGTTCTCTGGATTGCTGGTGACGATCTTTATGCACTTTGATCTTTATGATTAACATCAGCGCAAAGCCCTCGTCCTTCCATTTAGAAAATCAATTTCAACAGTATTAGATTTAACTTTATTTCTTTTGTATTTCCTGTGGAATCTGTAATTTTATTTATTTTATATGTACGTATCTGAAGTGTAAATGTGTAAGGCTCCTCGAGAACCAAGTCGAAGGAAGTTAATAAGCTAATTTAATGGGAAACATTGCGGCATTTTGGAGCCAACTTAGTTCCTAGATAAATTAATACTAGTATTAATACCATTTGCATAGTACAAAATGTAAATATCCAGTAAAGACCTTAGACCAGGCCGTACAGGTAATGTTTTAAATTGTAGAACTGCTCGCTGGTCTAAATGTCGTAGGGAAAAGCCCCCATACATAGTATTAACACTACTAATAAACATTATTTTGCACTAAAATATATGTAGTAAAAATCTCTATGCGGATAAATTGTTGTCAGTCAATATACTGTGTGATCTTGTCAATATACAGAATCACAATCGAATTGGGATGATTGTTGCGGAACGTTGGAATCAGCTAATCCTGCCGCTGTGGGGGAATTGGATTTGTTCGCTATTTTTTTTACCAGTACTCAAAAAGTGTTAAGGGGTGTATTGTATTTGTGGTAAAAGTGGATGTGTGCAACGCAGAGAAGGAAACGTTTCCGACCCCATAAAGTATATATATTCTTGATCAGCATTATTAGCCGAGTCGATAGAGCCATGTCTGTCTGTCTGTCCGTCCGTCTTGTTTGTCCCCTGGATCTCAGAGACTATAAGAGCTAGAGCAACCAAATGTTTTCAGACTCATGTGGTATCACACTGCTACAAATTTCGCCCGACCCCTTCCGCCACCACAAAAGACAAAAATCTGTGGCAGGCACAATTTTAAAAATACGATAAAACTAAAAACACAGTATCGTATAGAATGACCATGTCTACAAGATTGTCGAATCTGAAACAGATCGGTACATAATTATAGCCAGAATGAAGATATTTCAGTTGCTTCCCCCACCTCCTCCAGCAAGAGACTAGGCTACTCATTCTCTTTATCGCTCGCACACTCCACCGCGTTCAGTGCGCGAGCAATCCCTAGCGGAGGAGATGTAGCATCTAAATGGTACATGTATAATCTACATGTTAGATGTAGAATATACATTGTAGATGTAGATAACAGATGTAGCAAACAAATTTAATATGCACAATTTTTTTTTTTAATTCTATAAAATCATAAGCTTAAAAATGTATATGTATGTATGCGTCCCCAGAAGCGACTTAAACGTTCCATCTCGTTTCGATCTAATTTCTCTCATTTTCTGCCTCCACTTTCCACCGCTCTAATGGCAGAAAACCGTTAAATTCAAAACTGTGATACCAGGGGTGTTCCCCTGCTGAAATCAGCAGAAGGTCGCTGGTTTTTTTAATTTCTCGTTTTTTCTTGTTTCTCTTTGTATTTCGCTGCTCTCTTTTTTCGATCTAAATTCTCTCATTTTGTGCCTCCACTTTCCACCGCTCAAATGGCAGAAAACCGTTAAATTCAAATCTGAGATACCAGGCGAACAGAAATCAGCAGAAGGTCGCTGGTTTTTTAATTTCTCGTTTTTTCTTGTTTCTCTCTTTGTTCGATCTAATTTCTCTCATTTTCTGCCTCCACTTTCCACCGCTCAAATGGCAGAAAACCGTTAAATTCAAATCTGGGATACCAGGCGAACAGAAATCAGCAGAAGGTCGCTGGTTTTTTTAATTTCTCGTTTTTTCTTGTTTCTCTTTGTTCATTTTAATCTTTCTCATTTTCTGCCTCCACTTTCCACCGCTCAAATGGCAGAAAACCGTTAAATTGAAATCTGGGATACCAGGCGAACAGAAATCAGCAGAAGGTCGCTGGTTTTTTTAATTTCTCGTTTTTTCTTGTTTCTCTCTTTGTTCGATCTAATTTCTCTCATTTTCTGCCTCCACTTTCCACCGCTCAAATGGCAGAAAACCGTTAAATTCAAATCTGGGATACCAGGCGAACAGAAATCAGCAGCAGGTCGCTGGTTTCTTTAATTCCTCGTTTTTTCTTGTTTCTCTTTGTATTTGGTTGCTCTCTTTTCTCGATCTAATTTCTCTCATTTTGTGCCTCCACTTTCCACCGCTCAAATGGCAGAAAACCGTTAAATTCGAAACTGAGATACCAGGCGAACAGAAATCAGCAGAAGGTCGCTGGTTTTTTTTAATTTCTCGTTTTTTCTTGTTTCTCTTTGTATTTCGCTGCGCTCTTTTTTCGATCTAATTTCTCTCATTTTCTGCCTCCACTTTCCACCGCTCAAATGGCAGAAAACCGTTAAATTCGAAACTGAGATACCAGGCGAACAGAAATCAGCAGAAGGTCGAAGTTTTTTTTAATTTCTCGTTTTTTCTTGTTTCTCTTTGTATTTGGTTGCTCTCTTTTTTCGTTCTAATTTCTCTCATTTTGTGCCTCCACTTTCCACCGCTCAAATGGCAGAAAACCGGTAAATTCGAAACTGAGAGACCAGGCGAACAGAAATCAGCAGAAGGTCGATGTTTTTTTTAATTTCTCGTTTTTTCTTGTTTCTCTTTGTATTTGGTTGCTCTTTTTTCTAGATCTAATTTCTCCCATTTTGTGCCTCCACTTTCCACCGCTGAAATGGCAGAAAACCGGTAAATTCGAAACTGAGAGACCAGGCGAACAGAAATCAGCAGAAGGTCGCTGTTTTTTTTTTTTAATTTCTCGTTTTTTCTTGTTTCTCTTTGTATTTGGTTGCTCTCTTTTCTCGATCTAATTTCTCTCATTTTGTGCCTCCACTTTCCACCGCTCAAATGGCAGAAAACCGTTAAATTCGAAACTGAGAGACCAGGCGAACAGAAATCAGCAGAAGGTCGATGTTTTTTTTAATTTCTCGTTTTTTCTTGTTTCTCTTTGTATTTGGTTGCTCTTTTTTCTAGATCTAATTTCTCCCATTTTGTGCCTCCACTTTCCACCGCTGAAATGGCAGAAAACCGTTATATTCAAATCTGGGATACCAGGCGAACAGAAATCAGCAGAAGGTCGCTGGTTTTTTTAATTTCTCGTTTTTTCTTGTTTGTCTTTGTATTTCCCTGCTCTCTTTTTTCGATCTGAATTCTCTCATTTTCTGCCTCCACTTTTCACCGCTCAAATGGCAGAAAACCGTTAAATTCAAATCTGGGATACCAGGCGAACAGAAATCAGCAGCTCGTTTCTTCTTGTTTCTTTTTATTTTCGCTGCGCTCTTTTTTCGATCTTATTTTCTCTCATTTTCTGCCTCCACTTTCCACCGCTCAAATGAAAACCGTTAAATTCAAACGACCAGGCAACAAAATCAGCAGCGGTGTTTTTTCTTGTTTTTGTTTGCCTCCACTTTTTCACCGCTCAAATGGCAGAAAACCGTTAAATTCAAATCTGGGATACCAGGCGAACAGAAATCAGCAGAAGGTCGCTGGTTTTTTTAATTTCTCGTTTTTTCTTGTTTGTCTTTGTATTTCCCTGCTCTCTTTTTTCGATCTAATTTCTCTCATTTTCTGCCTCCACTTTCCACCGCTCAAATGGCAGAAAACCGTTAAATTCGAAACTGGGATACCAGGCGAACAGAAATCAGCAGAAGGTCGCTGGTTTTTTTTAATTTCTCGTTTTTTCTTGTTTCTCTTTGTATTTGGTTGCTCTTTTTCTCGATCTAATTTCTCCCATTTTGTGCCTCCACTTTCCACCGCTCAAATGGCAGAAAACCGTTATATTCAAATCTGGATACCAGGCGAACAGAAATCAGCAGAAGGTCGCTGGTTTTTTTAATTTCTCGTTTTTTCTTGTTTCTCTTTGTATTTGGTTGCTCTCTTTTTCTCGATTTAAATTCTCTCATTTTCTGCCTCCACTTTTCACCGCTCAAATGGCAGAAAACCGTTAAATTCAAATCTGGGGATACCAGGCGAACAGAAATCAGCAGAGGTCGCTGGTTTAATTTCCTTTTCTTGTTTCTCTTTGTATTTGGCTGCTCTCTTTTTTCGATTTAATTTCTCTCATTTTCTGCCTCCACTTTCCACCGCTCAAATGGCAGAAAACCGTTAAATTCGAAACTAAGATACCAGGCGAACAGAAATCAGCAGAAGGTCGCTGGTTTTTTTAATTTCTCGTTTTTTCTTGTTTCTCTTTGTATTTGGTTGCTCTCTTTTTCGATTTAAATTCTCTCATTTTGTGCCTCCACTTTCCACCGCTCAAATGGCAGAAAACCGTTAAATTCGAAACTGAGATACCAGGCGAACAGAAATCAGCAGAAGGTCGCTGTTTTTTTTAATTTCTCGTTTTTCTTGTTTCTCTTTGTATTTGGTTGCTCTCTTTTTCGATCTAATTTCTCTCATTTTGTGCCTCCACTTTCCACCGCTCAAATGGCAGAAAACCATTAAATTCAAAACTGAGATACCAGGCGAACAGAAATCAGCAGAAGGTCGCTGGTTTTTTTAATTTCTCGTTTTTTCTTGTTTCTCTTTGTATTTGGTTGCTCTTTTTCTCGATTTAAATTCTCTCATTTTCTGCCTCCACTTTCCACCGCTCAAATGGCAGAAAACCTTAAATTCAAAACTAGATACCAGGCGAACAGAAATCAGCAGAAGGTCGCTGGTTTTTTTAGTTTCTCGTTTTTTCTTGTTTCTCTTTGTATTTGGTTGTCTCTTTTCTCGATTTAAATTTTTCATTTTCTGCCTCCACTTCCACGCTAAATGGCAGAAAACCGTTAAATTCGAAACTGAGATACCAGGCGAACAGAAATCAGCAGAAGGTCGCTGGTTTTTTTAATTTCTCGTTTTTCTTGTTTCTCTTTATTTTTGGTTGCTCTCTTTTTCGATTTAAATTCTCTCATTTTCTGCCTCCACTTTCCACCGCTCAAATGGCAGAAAACCGTTAAATTCAAAACTGAGATACCAGGCGAACAGAAATCAGCAGAAGGTCGCTGGCTTCTTTAATTCCTCGTTTTTTCTTGTTTCTCTTTGTATTTGGTTGCTCTCTTTTCTCGTTCTAATTTCTCTCATTTTCTGCCTCCACTTTGCAACGCTCAAATGGCAGAAAACCGTTAAATTCGAATCTGAGATACCAGGCGAACAGAAATCAGCAGAAGGTCGCTGGTTTTTTTAATTCCTTCGTTTTTTCTTGTTTCTCTTTGTATTTGGTTGCTCTTTTTTTCTATTTAAATTCTCTCATTTTCTGCCTCCACTTTCCACCGCTCAAATGGCAGAAACCGTTGGGCTCAAATCTGGGATACCAGGCGAACAGAAATCAGCAGAAGGTCGCTGGTTTCTTTAATTCCTCGTTTTTCTTGTTTCTCTTTGTATTTGGTTGCTCTCTTTTCTCGTTCTAATTTCTCTCATTTTCTGCCTCCACTTTCCAACGCTCAAATGGCAGAAAACCGTTAAAT